CCTTGTAGCACCTCCTCGGGGCCGTCCAGGAGCCAGCCATTGCCACCAAGCCACCGCGGTTTCGGCTGCACCAGCCAGTCTAAAACTGACAAAGGACAGGGTCAGGGGCCTCCCCCGGCAGCCTCTGGGGTAGGAGCCTCCCTCTCATGACCACAGAGGCCCTGCACACCCCGCCCTGGGCTGACACCTGCAGTGCCCAGGACTGGCTGCTCCCCCTCAGCTCCCGCGTCACACCGTCACGGCTGGGCAACCTGTTGGCGCTGTTACTCGGAGTTTTTTTATGACCCACCCATGCTGAGCAGCTCTTGCTGCCGGCCGTGAATGAATGGTGAGCATCCGAGTAGCTGTCATGCACCCAGAGACTGCTTAAGGTGCTGGGGACACCCCAGGAAGAGAAGCAGACAGACTCTGCCCAGGGAGACTGACCCTCGGTGACAGCCAGCGAGCAGGGAGGAGGGGGCGGCTGGAGGAGGGACCCTCGTCCCCAGAGGAAAGTCCCCCAAGAGAGCGGTCTCTGGGCGAAGAGCTGGAGGTGAGGAAGAGAGGCTGAGGGCCTCAGGGAGGAAGTTCCGGGTGGGACCCTGCACAGGGGCCCAGGTGTCAGAGCAGGGACCCCCACGCCCCTGCCCTCTGAGCCATGTGCACCTCTCCTCAGCAGCTATGCTGCTGTTTAATCTTGAGCAAGTGACTCCGTTTCTCTGAGTTTCTGTGTCCTCAGTTGCAAATGAAACCGACCCCGCCTCCACCCATGGAGCTGTCTGAGATGAAATGTCTGGGAGACTCTTGGGGATGCCTGGCACCACTGTATCCTTTGTGCACTGCTCAAAAGCACTTGGCCTAGGAAGCAAGGCTAATCCCTGTGCCTGGGCACATTCCACAGGAAGGGACACCCCCAGCGGGGCGGGTGCCTTATGTGCTCTTCCACCAGGAGGGGGTGCCCTGCCACCTTTCTTATAAAGGCTGGTGGGAGCCAGCTGGCCCCTGAGCGCCCACCCTGTCACTGCTCAGAGGCAGACCCAGAGCATAATAATGAGCGTTATTAAATGTGCTGAGTCCCTTGTCATCGCTGTGACCTCACCCCAAAGAACACAAGGTGTGGTCACTTCCGCCGTCTCCTGGGCCTTGGGAGAGGTGGGCCCCCTGTCGAAGCCCCCTTCCGTAATTACTGCCCTTGGGAACCTGGTGGTTCCAGGAAAGGAG